TTTAGTGTACACATACACACACACACACACGCACACACACACACACACACACACACACACACACTCACACACACACACACACACACAGTGACTGTCACACCTGTTATTTGTGACCTATTTTTCTACAGTTCCGTATAGTAGTAATCTAAATATCGAGTTATAAAAATGTTACCGTTGAATGTCAATATCACGATGATTATATTGAAATAGAATTTTTATTCGACTTCTTGTACTCTTCACCCAGTATGGCAGCACTCGAACTCGCCTTCTCGCGTGTTGTACGTGGCTGCTCTGTAAAAGTACACTTCTAGAGGCTTTTTAATCCGCTAATCGATTAAAAATTATTAATGATATATATTGAACGATTGGCTTGATTCCAGCACTTGTGCTGACACGATAGGTCTCTGTATAAAATGAAACTCATTGGCATTGATATTCTATTTGCAGTCGCTACCCTAGGGTATCATCTTTGTTGCCACCGCCAAAGGCATGTTATACCTCGACAGAGACCCTAATACTATGTCTTTAACCCTTTCCTGTTCAACCTGGCCTAATAGGACCCTTTTTTAGTGAAGGGAAGATTGAAGAATACCGGACCACTCGTGCATTATTGCGCGAGAAAGTGGGGTAGGTGGGGCGGGTGGTTGGGGTGGAGGAGGGGGGAGGGGGGGGGGGTTCAGAGGGTCTCCCCCCTGACAAAATTTTAATGAATAGATCTACCGGTCCGAGATTTTCTATTGAGAGATATTAAAAACGGGAAAATTATGAATTCCTAAGGTTGAGACATAGGCAAAGTCAGTCCGCTGGTCCGGTATTCTTCAATCTTACCTTGGTGAAGAACATGAATAGGAGAGGATTAAACCAGGTTTTTAGTAAGTAAGCGTTTTACGGTGTTTTCAACACAATTAAATCCTACAAGTGCCGAATTTAGAGGCGTAACAAGAGGGTAGTAATAAACACAAAAAAGAAAGAGGAGATATTAATAAGGACGATACGTGTTTGATGATTAAAGCAAGACAGTAATATTACCTCTACGTTCGAATTAGATCTATATCAAAAACCACTGCACCAGCACTGACTAGAGCAACAGCTGTCTGCAGCGACCACAATATATATCATATATATATATATATATATATATATATATATATATATACACAAATAGATAACGATACCGACGACACAGCAACAGTTACGGTAACGGATAGGTTAATTATAGCTATAGCAGGATTTCTTCTCGAAGGAAAATTTGCGGAATTGTACACTTTAATGCCACTTTCAACACTGTGAGTTCACTTTACGGTTCAGGTTATAATATGTCAGAGGCGAGACCTAAGAATTTAACGTCCATCTTGAATAAACCGAGCTGAAAGGGTGGGCAGTCTTAAAAAAACCCAACTCACCACAACAACCCAATTACAGAACGCCCCCGTTAGGGCTCAAACCACAGCCATCCACTCCGCAGTCCAGCATGATACCAACAGAGCTAACAGTGCACTGTTTCTCGAAGAAACTCTCTGTGTCATTTTGAATATTATGCGCCTAACGTAACAGTTATCATAAATATATGCAGTAAGGGTGAAGGCACACATATGTCAGTCGAGAACAGAACACCCTGAGAGTAAAATGATTCACCGACAGACATGAAAGGAGAACAAGGAAAGCAGCAACAGTAAATTAAAACCAGGTAACAACAACAACAACAACAACAACAACAACAACAACAACAACAACAACAACAACAACAACAACAACAACAACAACTACAACAACAAAAAACAACAACAACAAAAGCAACAACAGCAACAAAAGAATAGCCCCAACAGAGCAAAGACCCCAACAATAATATCAGCAAAAACAAAACAAAACAGAAGGAAATAAAGCACACACACACACACACACACAACACACACACACACACATACACACACACACACACACACACACACACACACAAACAAACGGACAAAACAACAATAGCTAGACCAATAGCACGTTTCCTTTTGCCAACAACAGACGTTGCTGCTCTCATCCTCAAACAACAGAAAATCAAAGTCCCTTCCTTTGTCCGTATCCTCTTCACCACTATGAATAAACAGGCAATATCTTTATTTGCAATTAGCAGTGTGGTCTTCCGTCCGTACGTTCCCTTCTTTACCTCTTTTCTTTGACTGCGTCGACATGTATTAAGACATCTTTCTCTTGACATAAAAGCGCTCTACACTCACACATCCTTATAAATACGAGTATATTAAGATAGATGCGTGTTGGTGTTGTATGCATTGTTGCTGGACTTTGAGTTTGACCCGCTCGTCTCACGTCTGTCAAAAGGCCATCAGAATAGCCAAGTCTGGACACTCTGACGTAATTCTGGTTCACCACAGGGGGGGGGGGGGCACTTTTGGACTGGGGTATGAATTAAAATTTTGTTGACCAAAAAAAAAAAAAAAAAAATGAAAGGAAAGGGGGATGGGGGAGGTGGAGGTGGTTGTGGGCACACTTAACTAAAGGAAGCTTGGTGCTTTTCCCTTCGTCAACGCGTCCATGGTTCGCTCTCACGCCCTGAAGTTGTTGGGTTGTTTTTTTTTTGGCTACAGAGAGTAAAGAGCTGCAGCTATGACAGTGCCTGGTCTGTGCTATTGTTATAATTCAAGTCTGTGGGGTTTGATAAGGTCCTTGAGTTTGATAAGAGAAGTACGGAGCCCACAACCCCCTGTGTCAGGTCAAATGAACTGCTACTGCCCTGCACTCTGAGCCAAACCTCCCCCCTAGCCTACGACCTTCACTTTACGAGCCCAGACCCGCTAAGAACCGATAAAGATCAGCTTATTATTCGTCTATGAAAATTTAATTGTTTCGTTTCGGGCAATAAAATTTGTCATGAGCTGTTTTGACGGCGTAGAGTGGAGTCGCTGTGAGTTTTGTACAGCCGGGAGGGGATTAATTCTCAGTGATAGCTGAACTTTGTAAGCTTAGATACTGAAAACGTTATAGTTTTGTTGTCAAGAGTATAATATTGTAGTATAGTGCGAACCGGATCACTTGTTTAATGAGGGAATGGTACTTTAATAATGGTGTAAAAGGTAGGTGAAAATATTTTAAAGATTCTTTTATAGTTTATATTTTTAGAAATTTCTACTAAAGCAAAATTGGAAAGGGGGGAAGGGGGAGTTGCGACGGCGTTGAAAAGTGTACTTTTTAAATTCTTTGTAATTGCAATGAGCAGAGGTTATTGTTAGTTTGCATTGTGGTACAATGATATTTATAGTACGTTGTATAGCAGTATGTTATTATAAAAGCTGTTTATTTGAGGCATTGTTCGGAAAATGAATTGGTGTTTCGATTTCGTGTGCATGTTTTTATGCAGTCTTTTTTGTTGTTCGTGAACTCGTAGTGTGTACGTGTGTGTGTGTGTGTGTGTGTGTGTGTGTGTGTGTGTGTGTGTGTGTGTG